GAACCACCAACGTTTTGCTCAGCAGCTGAATGCCTTTACCTCTGTACCACTAGAGCTCCATGTTTGCACCATGTAGGATGGTGAAAAGATTGAAATTCTCAAGGACTTCATATTACTTGGTTCTATAATCAACACCAATGGAAGCAGCAGTCAAGATATTAGATGACGTATTGCATTGGGCAAATCTGCTGCAAAAGACCTCTTTCAAGTGATGAAGAGCAAAGATGATGTCCCCTTGAAGACTAAGGTGTGCCTAACCCAAGCTGTGGTATTTTCAATCACCTCTTATGCATGTGAGAGCTGGACAATGAATAAGGAAGACTGAAGACTTGATGCTTTTGAGTTATGGTGTTGGAGAAGAATGCTAAGAATACCATGGACTACTAAAAGGACTAACAGATCTGTCATGGATGAAGTGCAGCTGGAATGCTCCTTGGAAGCGAGAATGGCTAGACTTCATCTAACCTACTTTGCTCGTGTTGTTAGGAGGAACCATTCCCTGGAGAAGGATATCATGCTTGGTAAACTGGAGGGTCAATGAAGAAGGGGAAGGCCCTCAAGGAGATGGATTGACACAGTGGCTGCAACAATGGGCTTAGGTATAGCAGGGACTGTGAGCAGGGAACGGGCAGTGTTTCATTCTGCTGTGCATGGGGTTGCTATGAGTTGGAGACTACTTGATGACACCTAACAACAACCACCACAGGAACTCTTAAAGGAGCTCTGGTGGCGCAATGCCTAAAGCATTTGACTGCTAACTAGAAAGTTGATTGTTCAAACCCACCAGATGGTTTGTGGAAGGAAGATGGGACAATCTGTTTCCAGAAAGATTTTCAGCCTTGGAAACCCAATGGGAGTCTCTATGAGTCAGAATTGACTCGATGGCAGTAGGTTTGTTTTTGGTTTCCTATAATGGGCGAGTCCCTAACCAAAAATGCAGATCAGAGTCACTTGTGGGGCTTTTTGAAAACACACGTGCCCAGCACTCTCTTGAGAGTAACAAAATCACACTCCCTGGCTCCAGAGACCTGGAATGAGTATTTTTATTTTGTTTTCAAGTTTCTACCAAGTAGAGTTCAACTAGTAACATTCAGAACTGATTCTCAGTATTTAGTTTTAAAGGAAATTTTAATTATTCCTTTTTCTTCCACCCACAGATATGACGATGAATTGATTTTGTAGATTCACTCTTGATAGTTTTTTTAGTGATAAAGGTTTTGAATACACAAAATGAAATTTCCTAAGTTCTGAAAATATGTTTCATCACATACCACATACATACTATATATAAAAAAAACAAGATCCAAACTCACTGCCGTCGAGTCGGTCCCAAGTCATAGTGAACCCCTCCTTGGGTTTCCGAGGCGATATCACTACAGAAGTAGGTTGTCTAGTCTTCCTTCCGAGGAGTGGCTGGTGGGTTTGAACCGCCAACCTTCTGGTTACCAGTCAAGTGGCTTAAGCACTATGCCACCAGAGAGCTCCCATACTAT